ACAGAAGCTGCATCAGGTGCTCATCCTTGGACGAAGAGCAAGCACGGGAAAGGACAGGCAGAACGACAGACGTGCATCGAGCTGCAACATGGGCAACAGGAAGCCCAGGATGCGGGAAACAGAGACCAATGCCGTCTCACCAGCGCTGAAGCCCACCTCGATCCGCAAGCTGCCATTCGAGATACTCGATGACATCTCCAACTTGTTCTGAGCCCCACGCCGACACGATCGAGCGACGTTGCGCCATTCGACTTGTACAATGACCTGAGCTATATCAATTGAAACTGCCTCGAGAACCGCCTCGTTTTAAGGAAGTTCAGCGCACTCTACGGTGGCCCCGCCAGGTCTGCCGCAGCGATCGTGCAACTTCGGGACTCGGCACAGCTCCTATATCTGTCATGGCTCCAACAGACAGCTTGAGACTTTGCCTGATCCTGGTCAGTTTGCCCGTGTTATTGGCTCCAGTGTCCTGGGAGGGCGTGGAGAGCTTGAACTTGGAGCAGGCATAAAGTCATTGCTGGCACATGTCCTCTCCAAATAACGTATCGATCTGTACGAAGCTGGTGTACAGACAGGACTTGTCTGCTTTGCTTCCCAATGAGATGCGAAATCTATAACTTCCGTCCTCACCAGTTTTGTGCCGAGTCAGATTCGTGGAAGGCACCCAGCCTGACGTGTGCAGATCTCGAGTCGTTCGAATTTATTTTGAAGGCTATTACGACATGTTTCGTTCCTACTCCAGCACGAGACAATCCAAGTTGACAGTGATGGCAAGACCAACATCAACAGCTATCGGCGCCGTGCTCTCCGGACAGATTCTTAAAGATATTGCGACATATGGCCTTTGGGCAAGAACCCAAAAGTCCAGTACCGACTTTCGTGCCATTCCACAAGTCTTGGGCCCTTCAGGATGGCCAAGTATACAACACTTCGACATGACCTTTGTCTCGGGGGATCAGGACGCTGTTCCGGCCTCACACAACGTCTTGGCCATGATCAAGCTCAAGACTGGAATCTGGCTGCGAACAGTAGAGGCTCTATAGAAAATCTCAGCATATATTGTTGGCGACACCTCTGATAGCTGTCAACCCGTCATCAGATGAGGATCATATTCATGAACGTACATAACGGAAGCCATCTCGTATCAGGCTCTCGATTGATTTCCAGCATTCAAGTCACAGCTTTCTGGAAACATTGACACAGAATTCCACCGCATTATGCAAAGAGGTCTTCGACACAAGCGGGGCGATTCGTGTATCTATTAACCTCGCCGCATACTAAGCACATGCGTCCTCGACTTCATTCATTCATTCATACTGTGAAGTCGAATAAAGTAATTTCCATGACCTGCCCTTCCTCGCTCAGTCTTTCCCCCTTCATTTTCTAGCCGCCACACTCGTAGTGCTCCTCACAGTGGATAGCACACTCTCTGCTTAGACACCAGTCTCGAAGCACAGCACAGGCCCAAAGACTTGCCAGCACAGCGTCTCACTTCTTGCAGAGAGCCTCGGGTGTCGCGCAGTTGTTGTTGGCAACCTTGTTGTTCGCGCCGGTGGTGTCGACTAGCAGGTCCTGGTCGTTTTTCTTCAGGACATTGTTGACGACGACGTTGTTCGAGGCCACGCGGCCGAGGAAGTCGAAGATGGCGATGCCCGAGGAGATGAGTTCCGGCTTGCCGTTGTCGGTGATGCCCGAGATCTTGTTGCCTGAGACCTTGGTGTTGGTCGCGCCGGCGATGGAGACGCCCCCGGCCGATGGGCAGAACGGGTTCGAGTCGCTGATGCGGTTGTCCGTGACGCGGGCGCCGTCGATGCCGGGGTCGACAAAGGCGCCGGCGCAGCAGTTGCGCACCGTGTTGTGAGATACGCGCGCCCCGTTGGTCTGCACGCAGAGGCCAATGCCGTAGTCGGAGATTGTGTCTTGGTCACCGCCACATCCGACTTGTCGTCCATGCAGATACCGATGAAGAGCAGCGACGACGACGACACCTTGTTGCCGGTGATGCGCGTCGCCACCGAGCCGACTGTCAGGATGCCGTAGGCTGTGCCGTCGACGACCGTGTTGTGCTTGACCTCGGTGTTCTTGGCGCCAACGATGGCGATGTTGAGGCCTTGGAAGTCGCGGACCTCGAACCCCTCGACCCGCACGTCGCGGACGGCTCTGTCAACGGACGCCACCTTGCGGTGCTCCTGGCCGGGAAAGGGGTCGAGCTTGACTTTGGGTCCGATGATGCAGATGCCCGCCGCCGTACCGTCGCCCGCCAGCCCGACGCAGCCGTTGGGCTTCTTGGGTGCTGTGACGGGGGGCCGGAGGATGGCCTTGTCGCCGATCAAGCGGATGCCATCCTTGCTAATGGTGATCTGCTCGCGGTATGTGCCCTTGCCCACGAGGATGGTGTCTCCGGGCTGCGCGCGGTTGATGGCGCGCTGGATACTCTGGCCCTCCTTGACACGCGTAGGAATGCGGCCGTAGCTGGCTTCGACGCCGGCACAGAGGACCGCCGCGAAGAGGAAGAAGAGATATGAAATGAAAGAGAATTTGGCCATCTTATCGTTTGATGACTGTGTCAATGTCTTCTGCGTATTTGTGGCAGTGCGCGTCTGGCCAAATACGACTTTCCAAAGGGAGGTTCTCTCTGTATTTCTACTATCCCTCGTTGTGAGCTCTTCACTCAGGTCCAAATATTGCAGCCGACATTTCGCTGTATGCATCGCGACCCAAGCTCTCGGGACCGACAGCTCTCCCAGAAGCAAAAGAGAGCTAAAGCCAGGCGTGGTGGTTAAGTTATGCAAGCCTTCGGAAAGCTTAGCTCCAGGCTGAACTCAGCCGCACTCTCATCCGTGCCTGGCGCTCTCATTAGCTGGGGCCCTGATTTGACGTCCTTTGTCAATGGCCTACTCTCGTCCCGCCCTTGATTCGAGATTGGCGTTATGAAGATCGCTTCCATCAGTGAAGGGCGGGTTGCCGGCCGGGCTGGATCGACGAGGCTACGAGGGATGCCGTGGGGAATGCTGCACAAACGCGGGGATTGCATTCAGCCCCGACTTCAGCTTGTCATGAGCAACTCTTGTGCCTGAATATCGTTTCTTGTAGAAGGAAACTTATGCCAGTAGTTCCGTTTTGGCGCGGTACGTTTACGCTGTACGTAGTGAGCGTCTGACCGTGGTAGACTTCTCACATCTGTCGCTTGCCTCTGCAGAGAAGAAAACAGGACAGCAAAGTCGAGCGGCATCACCTCAAAATTTGCGTGCTGATCTTGGCTGTCAGATGTCTAGAGAAATAGCCTCCAGCTCTGAAAATATGGGGCGGGTACTTGATACTTAATTACTATCAGGCTGGCACCTCTTCGGCAATAGTGCTGAGAGTGTACGATCATCGCACAACACAATGATGTGCCTATGTGTGAACTCATTCCCACGTGAAGCCTGTCCTGTTTCTAGTACATAAGTACTGTTATTGTTGCCGAGGGTTGACCCAGAAGCCCTGGCCTTCGGTTTACAGGTCACATCCAGAGCGACGTATGCGTGTTGGGTTTGCCCCACAGGCTGCATATAGAGCCTAGCGAGGCTACATAGCCGTGGCGATCAGACAGTCACATCACTTTCATGGGTTACTGTGGAATCTTCAAGTGTTGTGGTCGAGCAGTCTAGCCCGATGAACTAAGAATAAGAATGCGATCGGGCAATGGAGGATCTGGGAAGAGTTATTTTCGAGGTTTCGAACCCAAGCTCATGTTTGAAAACCGACTACTCAGACTGCATTCCGGAGATTCAAGTAGACAATAAGAGAGATCGACAGTATTGCTCAAGAACCTTTCCATGAGAGATGTGGTATCCGAACAGATGGGCGAGAAGAATCCGGCCCCACCTCCTCCTCCCCATTCGACTCTCGGGTCAGAGGCTTCTGCTTCGTATAGCTGCTCAGTCGCCAGCGAATCGCTTGGTTCAGTGAGCTGCCCGTCTTTCTTGGGCGATGGGAGTGTCAAGTTCTCATCCGTGATAGTGTTCTGGTCTTTGTACGGTACCCAGATGTTATCTTCATCAAGAACCTCGATAGTCACCTCTCGAGGTAAACCTGAGAGTTCAGACATCATCAGTGTATTAAAAAATGGTCGAGGGAAGACAAACTTACGCTGTATCATCAGGCGAGCGTCCTCTGTCGGGATGCCGTCGCGTACGTGTCGCCGCGTACGGTTCAGCCTAGCCTTCCCCCATGGCTTGCCCGAGATAACAGGCCTAGCTTCCATGTCCTTTTTTTCCTTTAGCCAGTTAAGAACGGCTATCATTATGCCTGCCTCCTCTTTCTTAAGGTTCTTCTGCCGACCCCATCTGTTGAGCTGGGCGTGGTACTGGGCTGCACTTTTGGAGTCGCGTTAAAGGAGCTGCTTGGGGAGTGGCATATGATGGCTCAGAGCATCGAGCTTACGTTGCGTCAAAATTATGGTCCTTTTTCATGGTACGGACGAGGTCTGTTTCTTGTATTTTGCTCTGCACCGGAAGTCGTCGTTCATAGTAGAGATGCTGGATGGCTTCCTTATGGTCTTGCCACTCGTGCGGGGGGATGTGCCGTCCCCTGGACATCTGGACGTCGGCAGGTTTTGAGGAGGTTGCATGGGCCGCCAGGGCCGCAGAAAGTTGGCAAAAGAAGCGATGAACGCCGGGACAAGTAGTTGCAACTTGTGAGCTGGATGCTCGTTTTGAGTTGTTGGCGAAGGTTCTCTGAGGTCTCGCGCGCGATATACGGTGCCACGTTGCTGGCATTGTTTCGAACCGTCTAACTGGTCGCCCTTTCGAAATCTTGGCATGCGACCTGGCAATAGCCCCCATGCCATATGACCTACCTAGGTAGTGACATGCATCGAGCTACCAGCTGCAAAAGTTTTGTCACTTGGCAAAAGTTTTGACATGCGGCAAAACTTTTGGCAGGCAACAAAACTTTTGGCGGGCCAGGTCTTTAAAACGCCACTTTTTGTACTTCAAGCCTGCACCAGAATTGATGTTGACAACAAACACCAATTGCATGATTATCACTTCTTGCCAGAAAACGATCTCAACGTGTGACTTTGCTATACTCCCGCCGAAGCCTCCACGGCAATCTCGCCATTATGACTTGCAAGGCCAGGAACAACGAGCCAAGGGTTCGGCACGAGGTAATCCCATTCCGCCATCCAGATACCCTCGCCTACCCTCCCCAACCCTTCGACACGGCTTGGCCCGACACCGACGCCACCACTAGTTCGACCTTCAACTGCCCGACGGCGCCTCACCAATGCGCTACTCCGGGCCCACCGAAGCTCGACCAGCAGCGTCTGCAGGCGTCCCCCCGTTTCGCCGAGCCCTTCACAAGCCACGGCGGCTGCATTCCGTGCTGGCTGGAGTCGCAGAGCATGTACAGTCCCAACTGCATCCACCGTCGCAATTAGAGGAACAGGTAGGAAGGCCCGTTGAGCCGGCTCTTGTCAAGGCTTAGCTAGAACATTGGATTTTGAGATGCAGCATACGGCTATGAGCCTGATGTCCTTAGTGCATATAGTGGTAAATCTCGAATAACATTTCAAATATCCAGAGCCCCTCGTTCTGTAGTACCCAGTAGAAGTGAAAGTGGG